TCAAATTCACTGAAATGAAACTGAGGCCGTCATCGTAGAAAGAATACCAGTAACAGGTTTAATCCTGTTATTGACGTAAATGCCAACATCTGATCTTGGCTTACCACAGCTAACAGTAATTGATCCATAAGAAAACAATGATTCGTAGTTGTTTCATTAATTAACTTGAGTGGAATTCTTGAATTGGAATTCTTATAAAGATAAAAATAGTTTCCTTATCACAGCATTCTCACGCCCTAATTTCTACTTATATATGTATATTTCATTCGCTTTTTCTATAACTTAAAAATGATCTCAGGGAGATCGAAACGTCGTTTTTTATCGCTAGTTTTTATTCTGATATGTATTTCAAAAAATCTACTTATAAGAATTTTAATAATTAGTTGATTTAATTATTAAGGAAACGGACGGAGTTCTTGTAATTTTTCTGCCAAAAAAAATGAGCCAAAAACCACGAGTTTGCAATATTGACGTCAGGTTTTTGAACCTTTTCTTTAAAAGGAGATGATTTTCTGGTATATAGTACCCGTTGCTAAGGTGGTAACTGGTGTTCAATCACGCCTTCCTTTTCTCTTCCCGGCGGTGTGTCGCAAGGGCGCAAGGGGAGGCGGTGGGGAGGTAGACAGGGTGGTGACCGTGGGGAGGAAGTAAGACCGCTTCATCCCAGGTGGCAAGAAGGAGGGTGCTGGAACAAAAAAAAAAAAGGGAACAAAATTTAGAAGCCAAACTGTAGTTTCTTGTTATCAGAATAAAATGCAAGACTCCTAAAATAGGTTAATCTAGCCTAAAATTGTGACCTAAATGGAAAATGAAGATCAAAGGAAGGGGAAATATGATACATACTTGACGCCACATAAATTGAACTTGCGTACAGCAACTAGTCTCAAGCCTCTCCGTCCAGCATGTGTACTCGTAGTTGTCTTCGTCGTCGGCAAATCTTAAATTCATTATTAGTTTCTTTCTTCTTGCCGCGATTGAGAAAGCTGGCTACGTTTCGTTACGTTTTACGCTTCAGGGTGAACTGCCATCGTCTGTCCACAAACCAAGCTGAATTATTAGGATGAGTCTTAGCATGAAGCCAAAAGGGTACAATGATATCGCTAATGCCCTCGATAAGAAGCCTGTGCTGTCCAGAGTTCTTTACATTAGGTTCGTGGCCAAAACCTACAGTCCAACATGTATGTATGGTTCAAACAGACCTCAAACCTTTAACTCCAGGATTTTCAAGGACAATTCGGCAATTTTTACAAACTGAGTTCCCTCAATAACAAGTGAAATTTGTTCAGTTGGAGGGAAATAAAATACGGAATGTTAGAAATCTCATGGAATGTAAGATGACTAGCACTATTACAGTCATCATAATCAACTTTTTGAGACTAAAATGCTTACTTAACTAAGAGTGTATATAAATAAAGTATTATTATTCCCTTCACCATGTTAACCTTGCTAATTTATCCCGGCTGTAGTCTCAAGGCATTCAAAGACTGCCGGTAAAAATTTAAGGACTTTTGATGAGAAAACCTTTTCTTCTCGGCTAAAAATATCCTGAGGCTAGGGCCAAGCACAACCTTTTTCACGTAAACTAAGTATTAAAAACATATGGGATGACATATAGGATGACATCCCCCTATGATCTTCCACGCCCTAGTATTTTTCTTCTTACACGTAAACATCCTCTACCCGCTCGTCTGTAGCCGAAGCAACCTAAGTTAGTGTGAACGCCCAGAAGCTTAACTGGCCGTTGAGAGAGGTTATTTTGGCAGTTGGGACGCGTTTAAGTGGCCGCTGCCGTTGTGGAGAGGTGGCTGTTGTAGAGAGATTAAAATAAGACTGGACGTATGGACTGTCTGCTGGGACCAAAACAAGTGGCCCTTGTAGAAAGGTGGCCGTAAGCCGAGGTTCAACTGTATGCTGTGCGTATAATCCCAATTAAATGTCAAACCCTAAATGATTTGCTCCTTTCCCCACTCTCTACCCATTTGCGGTTGCGCTAATTTAATTTCCCGCGGTTTTTGTTTCTCTGCGCGCTCGACCATCCAACGAGAAAGTACAGTTGACCTGCACGTCTCTATATTAACCTCTATTGTGATTCGTTCTAATTATAATTGATCTGCGACAGTAAACGAGCTGTGAACAAACAAACTATGAAAATGTAATTTTTGGGGGATGTGATCACCAAATAACGTGAAACTAAAGATCCAAAAGTTAATAAAGAATACCCAATCCAAAACACAAAGCTAACCAACAACAGTTTCCGCAACACCAGGAAGAAAAGGGTTTGCATATTAGCTCCAATTCCTTCTGACATGCTGTTAAGCTTTGGTTCGTAATTACCTAACAGCAGAAATTTCAATTTTCTCTAAATCGTAAAGGGCCTGGCCTTCAATTGAGGTGCATGTAACAGATAGTACGAGGGTCAAATTGTAAATGATAGACTTAATAGAAAACTCTCGTAATAGAAAGCGGATGGTTTCGGTCTCAAAACTATCCAATCAACATAAATATCACACAACAAAGGTTCAAGTAAAAAGATTTCCACCATGCAAAAAAACAGTTGTTTTCAATGAATCTCAAACGAATAACAATCGCTTAAGTCTTTCGTCAGTTTTCAGTAAATCTGACTGCAAATGTCAGTTGTCAGTTAAATTTTCGGCCATTTGTCAGTTATTTTTTTGCCATTTGTCAGGTGTCAGTTAACCCCATTCAGACCCTTTGTTTTGGTAACTCATTGCTGTACATGTGTTCAAATTTACTCTGTTTAGTTGTTACGGTATCTCTAAACATTTCTATGAAACTGAAATAAGAGCAATTGTTGTCGATAATTGATTTCAGTTTGGGACGTTGCTCCTCAGTGGCCAGTCAGTGGTAGATAGTAGTAGTATCCCTGCATCTATTTTTTGAAATTCTTCGGGGGAGGAGAGGGGGGAGGAATCTCAGCAAATTTAATGAAATAATTGCGAGCGGATTCCGCACACGAAAGTCGATTCACTGGCAACGCAAACTGCGTAAACTTATCTGTATAACCTCGGAGTGCTAATGTCGATAAGTTGCTGGCGGTTTTGTTATCACGTAAAAGGGGAAAGCGCGAGGAGGAAGTTTTAACAACAAAAAGGAATGGCGCACATATCTTTTATGAACAATAGTTACAGTGGGTGACAATTTTATAAGTAATAGAGTGGCTCCAAATAATCTGGTTCCAATACAGAAATTTGGCGGAAATGGCGCTGATTGGTTTGTTCTACTTTTACCGCGACGATCTGAAAACGAAAAACAAAACTTAGGAGACAAAGAAGTTTTCTTTTTAAAGTGAAAAAACGTTCTCTGGTTAAAAAGATTAAAAACTCAAGCTTTCGGCTATCAGTCTATAGCTTTTAACGAATGAAAAATGTAAGCGCGCTAACGGAATATATACGAAAAAGGGTGCAAAACATTTTATAAAAATAGAATACAAAAAGAAATGTGAAAAAAAGCTAAAAAATAAAAATATAAATAAGGTCTCATTACAGTAAAATGGAGTATTGCGTAGGCAACGGTTCTGAGTTACTATCCGCGTCGACGGTTTAAGCTGTGTGCCAGGATTTTAGTGTTTTTCGAACGCGGTAATTGCCTTTGTCAATAACTCAAGCATTATCGAAGTCAATGGAGTGGTTGTTTTGCCACGCATGGTTTGCGACATTTGAGCCCTTTGTATGGTTCTTCAAATTTCGTTGATGTTCCTTTTTTCGGGTTTGGAAGCATCTTCCGGTTTGTCCTATGTAGTTCCAAGTTTCTGTTTGTTACACATAACCCCTCGGGCGAGCTCGTTCGAAGCTAAGTAACTCTAGAAAAGGACTAAAGGTATGTTTTAATGTGTTTGATAATTGTATCATTTTTAATTGATCAACGCTTTAAATTGGTTGAAATCTTACTCCTCTACTGTTTTTTGTCAATGATTATATACACGCTTACAAAATTCTTGCAACCCAAGCAGTTATTTTAAATGAAAGGGAATATTACAGAGTTTAACTGTTATTTTTCTTGTAGCAATAGTAACGAAACAGTATGGACACTAAGTTTATGAAGGACATGTCAACACTATTGATTTCGTGTCCAGTACTCATAATGCCTCCCTTATTAAGTATCCATCAAATTCTTTGCTAGTACCCGCAAAGAGTTTTAGCGTTACGCGTGATCGGCCCAAAATTAGCAGCGTGATTTAGGATTGAGATCAAATTAGCCGGGTAACATCGTCACGTGATGCGTGATTTGCTATTTTACAAGCACGTGACGCGCGATTTACCAACTAGATTTCCGTGATAAGTGAACGTTCTTTGAAATAGAAGGACAGCATTCATTCACAGTAAATAGTAAATAGAGTTTTAAAAAAGATCCATAAATCGTGGCAGACGTGACACCATTTTCTGGTCTTTTTTTTGACCTCTGATGTCTTTGATCTTCGTTGATCTTCGTTGATCTTCATGGTGCAATAGGTCCAAACAGTTCTGACACAACAGGAATAAGTCAACTGATAATTGTGAAACTTTGCACAAGGACTATAAATTTCACTGTTATTTTTGTCCATTTTGTCGACCGATCATTTTTGGCAGTGCATCAGACCATATCCGAATCTCAGACTATCGTATGAAAGGTCTGAAAGAATGTAGTCCCAAACAGCTAAAACAAAAACAGACGTTAGAGTTTGGTGTCATTCTATGCCCGATCTCCCGTACGGATCACCAATTTTATGTTGGACAATAATTGTCATTTTCGGCGGAAAGTGTTTGGAACATTTGCCGATGTATTCCTGTGGTTGAATCGGCAGAGTTCTCCTTTTAAAGACACTTTTAGGGTCGAGCAAGTAAAGTTGGTGATGTATTTACTTCCTTTTACGTGACGCGTGATTAGTGAAAAAAATTATTCGTGATACGTGATTTAATAGAAAAATTCAGCGTGATGCATAATTGATACCCCCCACTACCCTTTGCCACCCTCTACAAATATTCTAATTTCTAATTGACGCTAACGCTCTCCCAAGAAAAACGAACGCGATTCAACCAGTTCTGTCATAGAAAATTTTAGGAGGTCATCACTCTGGACATAGTTAGTACAGGGTGCCCTCTATTAACTATACTCTGGAGAGAAGTCTAATCGTGTGGTGTGAAGCCTTCTTCCAGATCTTTTCTGGTCACAACCTCTGTTGACATAGAACTGTTTACAAAAGCTACCCTACTTCGTGTAATGTTTTTTGGTGTTAACAGGACCTCAACTAAGCAGAGAAAACAATAACAACCCTACTGATACACCAGAAGAAGATTTTAAAGCTTTTGTGCGAGAGTCGCTGGTACGTTCTAAGTATCGCAACATCAACCATTGTAACATCTCATTACATTTTGAGTTTGATAAAACTCTTGTAATACATTTTCTTTTATTCTAAACTAACTCCAATTCAGTTAAAGGGCGTATAATTTCTCTAACTATATCTTGCCGTACTAAATTTCTTCTCACTGTAATTGTAATAATCTGTTGTATTTCAAGATGAAGTGAAGGAAAAAAAAGAAAAAAAACATCATAAATGCAAATACAAACTTTTCTCGTCACTTTACACTGATGAAGTGTTAACACTCAAAACACCTACTTCACAAACTCGCTAAGGTAGTTAATTCAACTTAAGTGTCCTAAAATTATTTTCTTCTTTAATCAGGATATATTGTCGTGAGTTTCCGATCCCATTGTGGCCACTTAGATTAAGTTTGTATCAGCATGCGGCTGAGATTATATTCCAATCGCCTTGCGGACCTATCTATATATATAACACTAAACAAATACAACAGATACAAGTAGTTCAAAAAAAAGAATAGCGCTTTGTTTCGCATGACATTAATAGCAGACCATTTGGCAAGTTACCCAAACTCGTGATCCCAGTATCACGTAACCAGCTGAAGCAGTTTGTATTCAACTAACGTTGTGGAATTACGGATTGATATCTCCGAAATCATGGCTGTTCAAAAGCAAAGCATGCCCCCATTTGCTTCTATTATTTCTGTTCTCTCCATTGTGTTTTACTGCGCCGGCTTTTTAAGAGTTGAACTGGAACTACACGAACAAAAGAAAAGAATAAACGACCTTGAAAGCGTTGCGGAGGCCAAGTCGCCATCAAACGACGCAGGCATGAAGATAAGCAAGAATGCTCCTGGTAAGTTTGATACAAGCTAGAGTTGACAAGTTAGGTTAAAATCAAGAAATACATTTATCAGAATCAAAGCTTGTTTAAATCACATATATTGTGTTTTACGTCTGTGAGCCAAAACACAAATCACAAATAAACGTGTTCTTACATGTCCGTTTGTTCATGTCTGAACTAAAGGTTAGCAGGTCAAGTTTTCTTTACTCCACCGCAGACAGTTTCACACGAAAATAATGATCATGATTCAAACGAATTTTCCTTCAATTAACATAAACACAATGACCAGTGCAGAAACAAGTCTCTTTACTTTTTCAGTTTGATCAATCTTGGTACCACCGATGGTGTAACTTTTATTGACAGTTTTTGTATCAGGAAATGAGCAAAGGATAAGTTTTCTACTAATGCTCCAAATACTTTTTATAGTCTCGATTGAAGGAGACGTCGAGTATTTCCGTTTCATTCATATCGTACCGCTACAAATGAAAACTTTATGCTCGCCTGCGGCGATAATGGCAGCACGGACACTAAAAACTCCTTGCTTTTAACACAAACTTAAGATCATTATAAATGCTTTCATATAGTAGTCTTTCCGTTTTTTGAATTTAACTAAGTTTTTTCTTTCTTCCCAGAAGGTCAATCCTTTAAACTCCACAGACACAGCCGTCACGTTGACTCAACTGAGAACTCGACAGAAGCTAAACACACAGCTGAAACGATGCTCAAAATCAACAAACTTTTATCACAGGGGAGAGTGCATCTCTGTCAGTCAAAGGATGTCACGTGCTCGTCAGGTCCCCAAGGACCTCCCGGTCCACCTGGACCAAGAGGACACAAAGGAGCCCGGGGACGAAGAGGACTGAAAGGAAAGACTGGAAACAAGGGCGATCAAGGTATTATGGGATCGACAGGAAAGAGCGGCAAGCAAGGCATCATGGGACCTGTAGGACTACAGGGAGAGACTGGAAACAAAGGAGAGAAAGGAGACATGGGACCTGTAGGCATGCCGGGAACTAAAGGCGAACCCGGTGAATCGATATCATCTCCTGCTGTGGTTGTTTCTCCAGTGACGTTGACAGTGAACGAAGGTGGAACAGCCTCGTTTCAGTGTTCAGCCAGCGGTAATCCTGAGCCTACTGTAGCGTGGGGTAAACTGGGCAAACAGTCAAAAATAACTCAATCAGCGGTTTCACGTGGAAAGTTGGAGTTAAAAAAGGTGACCGGAAGTGACTCGGGCGTGTATCAGTGTTTAGCAACAAACATCCTGGGGAATTCACAGGAAGTGGTGCGATTAACAGTAAATGGTGAGTTTCTGGTTATTGTGAATCCTGACATAAGTTTTCCGGTGAAATACATTGATACACAATGCATTTTACAAATTACGTATATCATTTTGGGAGCACGAAAAGTTCGATTTTCCTAAAGCGCCCTCTTTGTTTCTATAAAGTAAAACTTACACAAATATAGCTTTGGCTTTTCCCTGGAAGCGGCTACAATTTTAATCCAATGAATCGAGATGACAACTGAGACACACTATATCATGGAGAACATTGGATTGTACGCTGCAGGCAACTCTTTCGACCTATAGCGCAGATATTTAGCTAATGTGTTTCTATAACATTGATTAATCTACATTTCCGACACGTCAAAACCATTTTATGATATGGTGAAATAAAAAGATTAACGTAAAGGTGACCAATCATAACAAGCGTTTTAAGGACAATTTTTAAATGGTTGCCATAGAAACGTTAAGATAGGAGACCAAGCAGTTGGCACATTAAATTATTCCTTGCATAATTTTAGGAACGGTCACAGAGTTTGAAATACATCATCGCGGTTAGTTTGTTCCGGCCAGGCGTTATACAAGTTGGGTTAAGAGTGGTACAGAGGACTGGTAGGGAGCACCAAACCGTCTTCATTTCAGCTTTAACCCGTTTAGACTGCGAACACAGACGGATTTCCGACTTTTGTTTTACCGTATTTACAGGCTGTGACCTTGCCTGATGATCGCATAGTTTTCTATACATCCCCGCGCTTTTATATAAGCGGTAAGGCTATTACTACTACGGTTACAGCCTCATCCAGGCGTTCGGTACGTTGGCGCGAAAAATGGCGAGGGAAAGGGTAGGGGAGAGGCGCAGCGATAGAAAGCGAAAGAATGCCTGTGGCCAAACTTAACAAAAGGTCGTTCCGGTATACTAGGATCTGGAATGCCCTCCGATTGGTCGACTCTGACAGGTTTTGTCAACACTCGAGCGTTACTGACGCAGATGAGAAATGCAGTATGGCGGCGGTCAGAGACGTTTCAACTAGTTACGCTGTGTTTAAATCTGTGATAAACAAGACGCTTAAAGTCTTAAATTTTTCCCATGTTGAGTGTCTTAGCAAATAACAGGAGGATTGCATAATAATATAGTCAATGGCAAAGATGTCTTTGCAATCCTTCCCACCAGTTTTGGAAAGAGTTTAATTTTTCAACTCTTTCCACGAGTAATATCTTCGATGAATGGAAAAGACGGCGCCGTCTCAACGATCATCGTGGTTTATCTAGCTCTCGTGGCCATGATAAAAAAGACCAAGTTGAACGCTTGAACAAAATTTGAGCTGGAGCAACGGCAAAGGTATTGACGAAGGCATGGACGAAGAAGTCGTAAAGAACGGAAAGTCGAGATTGTGTGTAAAATGGGGTGACAGGTCTACTCGACTCCTACGGTTCGTGACATCTGTACATTTGCCGTTCTGTTTTCCGTATTTCGACCCTTCGCTTCACAGAGTTTGATACCTCTGTGATTTGCCATGTGTCTCTAACCATTGGCTTTCGAGGGACAAAGTTTGAAATATTCCGAGAACATTTTGCTAACTGGCACTGTATAAAGTTGACAACTGAAAACCACAAGCTTGCGGTCATGTTACGGGTCCGTGTAGGCGGTCGATAAGTGGGTGGAAGGAACTTTGTTAAGTTTGCCCACAGGCGTCCTTTTGCTTTCTCTCGCTACGGTTCTCCCCTATTTTTTCGCTTGTCGTTTTTCGTGTTGCGCCCCAACCAACTGAACGCCTTAAAGAGGCTGGTACGGTTAACCCGGTTCAAAGAACTTGTGAGGAGCTCTACGTCAACTTTGTTACAATGTTGGCCTTGTACGAGATTACAAAGCTCATAGGATCTAAAGCCATACTTGGCTGCTTGTTCCTGTATGTTAAGAAAGTCAGCAAGATGTTCTATTATTATTATTTTTATTATTTATTATTAGTAGTAGTAGTAGTAGTAGTAGTAGTAGTAGTAGTAGTAGTAGTAGTAGTAGTAGTAGTAGTAGTAGTAGTAGTAGTAGTAGTAGTAGT